CGGGACTGCAGCCGCCGTCACGGTTTTTTCATATATATATTATTTGTGTATTATTTATTATTTTATTGTTAGCCGTAATATCAATTAACACCCTTAGCTGGCCAGCACCTATTGTGCCCTATTCCTTTAATTTTTAATTTTGTCTTGGTTGAATAGTAGGCCGCAACCCGGCTCTCTTGAAAACAAACAAATCGTGTTGTTTATTGTATATTCTTTGATAAAATTCTACCCAGCACCATCAGAATTGTTTGTACCGTAATACAGTCCATTTTACCATCTACCGTACATATACTGTGAGACGTTTAACGTAGTAACAATAAAATGTGGCTTAATTATTCATGCAAAATATCCTTGGCTTTGTGCCTCACCAGATGGTTTGGTACTTTCAAAAGAAGGAGATATTTATAAAGTGTTGGAAATTAAATGTCCAATAAGCTGTAAAAAAAAACCTATTGTTGATGATGAAACTGGAGTACTCAATTTAAGTTATTTAAAATATGAAAATGGAAAAATAATATTGAAAAAATCTCATCAATATTATACTCAATGTCAAATACTAATGTTTGTGACAGGACTCAGTAGCTGTGACTTATTTATTTACAATAGCATACAACCAGTATTGATATGTATAGAAAAGGATGATAAATTTTTAAGACAGATTCTATTAAAATTGGAATGTTTTTATTTTAAGTTCTTTTTGCCAAAACATTGTTCTATTTGAAATAAACAATACACTTGATTTATTATAAATTAACTATAATCATGATATAAAATGAACTGTTAAAAAAAAATATTTACAATAAAAAATATTTAAATTGAAACAAGTTACTAACATTTTATTTTAAACATTGCAATAAGAAATATATTTTAGTAAATAAAAAAACTTATCAAAATAATTACTGTTTTATTATTGGTAATTGTAAATTTGTTAAAACACAGCACATTTGAACTATTTCATCTATATATGGCAGAAGTTCAATAGGTACTTTATTTAATATTCCATGCACCTTTAATCGAGCAAAAAACCTTTCAACATGAATCCTCACACTGGCAATACTAAGCGTTTCTAATACTTCTTCTTCTGTAAACTTACCATGATGTAATATAGGGGGCATGACTAATATTGCATTTTGATTTTCTACATTAGTTTTTATACCAGGAAACCCCTTGTCAGATAAAACTTGATCGCCAGGTTCGAGATTAAATAAAAATCCACAGTCGTTAGTTATGAATGTATCGCTAGATCTTCCTCCATAGCATTTTGAAATGAAAGAAACAGCTCCACTTGGAGTAATTGCAGCTAAAAATTTTACTGTATAGCACCCTTTGTAATGTGAATACATATAAACTCTTTGCTCGATTGTAGGTGGCTGCTGGACTTTGATTTCTGTGCAGTCAATGATACAGCGAGCATTAGGATAATTTTTTAAAAATGCATTAGGCATTGTTTCTTTTATTGTGCTTTTATTAGGCCAAAAAATAAAGTTTTTAGTTTTTAAACTTAATATTTCCAAACATTTGAAAAATATTCTACTAACTGTAGTTCTATGAATACTAAATAAAACACCTATTGCTGCAAATGTTAAACAATGTTTAATTTTTATTAAAAATATCAACAATTTATTTCTGTTATCAATTGAACTGTTAAAAAATTTTAGGAATCATTGAACATAATAAATCAAATACTTTAAATGTTGTGCCAGTCAAATCTTTTAGAGCATTTTCATTTTTAATTGAATAATACCCATGAAATTTGTCACAAGATAAACACGAACTAGTATTAATTGATTCAGGACCACAAGATTTATCAGCCTTCATTATAAATTTGTCTTGAAATTTGTTAGAAGATATAGTATGTTGTGAAGTAATTTGAGTACTAACATTGTTTTTATCAAAAAATGAACATTCAAATACAAATTGATTGGTGTTAATTACTTCAAATCCAACTTGAGTACTAATATCACAGGTTGAAAATATGTTATTAGTATGAACTTGACTTGTTTGGCTCGTAGAACATTCATTTGTATCATTAGGATTAAGAACAGCGCTATCACAAATATTTTTTTGACGTTTTAAAATAAGATGATATCGAGATTCTTGTTGGGTTGCATCACATATTTTTCTTTTGTACAATTGTGGAAATAAGGAAAGGACATATGAAGGACTTCTTTGATCAGAGGATCGATTATTTCCAATAAAATGTGCACTGCAAATCACACTATAACGGTTAGGGATCCATAATTTTCCATTTTTTCTAAAATACCATAGTTAATCATTAGATTTATAATACAGGTACTCTATTGTATTACAATAAATAATAAGATATTGAAATAATTAATTAGTATAAAAAAAAGTAATAGTACTCACTCAATTCGATTAACAGCCTTGATCCATTTTTCTTTTAATTCCTTTTCATAAGATTTATTAGGAAAACTATAGAATTATATATTTGTTGTGTTCTTGTAAGTGTTACTACAATTCACCACACAACAAATCTTTTTTGATTTGCTTTGGTTCATTTTAATATGATAATTAAATTTTATATTATTAAATGTATAACTTATATGATTTAAACGTTCATCACGACCACGATTTAAGATATACCTTAATTATTACTTATTAGTGTATTAATTATTAGTACATCTTAATTCGTGATCACGACTCACGGATTAACGAACTTACGGTTATCTCTGTCGTTAGATGATGATAAAATTGATGAAATATGATAATAGCACAATATCTTTTTACCCCCCAATTAATGCAGTTGTTGTCCACCAAGAGCGCTACGTACACACTTGCACGGTGTCTATAATTAGTGCATAACATAGGAAATATACTCTTAGCAGATCACGTTTAGCTTTTTTTTAAGTTTTTAAATTGGGGCGAATTTACCTATTATGCAATTTGAAGATAAGAATATTATCTGTGTTTGTATGTGGGTTTTTTTTTACGATAGTTAAATTTTTTAGCAAGTTTTGCGTATTTGTGATAGGTAGTGTAAACTAAAAATGCTCCCAACTCGCTTAAAAACTGAATTATTGTAAAATACCCAGGGCCGTATTTAAGGGGTGGTTCGGAGGGGCAATAGCCCCCCTGGAATATGTCAAGGGGGCGACAAAATTTTTACGGAGACTATAAAAAAAGTTTTCGGAAAAATTATACATTATTTTAATAATTAAAATATAATATATAATACAAAATACTAAATATTAGGTAATTAACAATAATTGTACAATGTATAATATTGTTATTTGTTTCCCAATCTACAACCACGGAATATTACAACGGCCTCCGACTTCCGAGTGCCGAGCACGGTCACGGCGGATATTATTTATTTTTAGCCGTATCGGTATGGCCCGTATTTCCCATATCACTGGTAAATAGGCCCCCAGTATTTACGGTTTGCTAAGAACAACAATTAAAGTATTACTAGCTGAATTACCCGTCGCTGCCGGGGTACGGTGGGAAAAAACATATCTTTGAATGATTGTATATTATAAATAAATATAAAGATGTATCATACTTTTATGTATACATCGTTAGAATAATGTGCAATTAATGTAAAGGAAAAACATATAATGGACAATAATTTAATTTCTTAAGATTTAATTAATTTATAGATAGGTATACGCAAGATATAAGAAAAGATATAGAAAACTGTAAATATTTCACCCAAATCAAAACAATTGATAAACAAATGATTTTCAACGATGTATTGATATTGTTATAAAATTTCTTTATAAACTATATTCATTGTATCTTTTTTGTTGTTTGGTAGTATTTGTATAGTTAACTTTTCAAAGGATCTAACCCTGGACATGGCAACATAAAGTTGACCATGGCTAAACACAGGTTGGGGTAAATACAATCCTACTTTATCCAATGTTTGACCCTGCGCTTTGTTTATTGTCATAGCAAAAGCTATTCTTATCGGAAATTGACGTCTGGTGAATGAAAAGGGAAGAGTAGAATCTGACGGGGTCAAATCAATTCTAGGCAATAAAATACGCTGACCAGTTCCTTGACCAGTTATAGATTCCAAGTCTAAAGAATGATCGTTCATATTTCGTACAATAAATCGTGTGCCATTCATTAGATTGGAGGTGACATTTAAATTTCTCAGGAGTATTACAATAGTACCTTTCTTTAGTACTAAACTGTGCGGTGGTAAACCACTTAAATGTAAACTATCTAAAAATTCTGTCGGAAACAAAAAATCGTCACAGTCTTTTGACACTGTATTTAAACTTAAATACGTTTTTTCTGGCCCTGGCAACATATTGACAATTGAGTTATTTATTTCATCACAATGTTCATTTTTAGGTGCAAGAATTGCAAATTGTGAAAAAATAGACACATTTTCTAAATTAAAAATAATATTTCCAAATACGTCTTTTATTATATTTTTTGATAATAACGATGGTTTAATTTCAATAGAATATTCGTCCGAATCAGGATTTATTAGAGGATATTCACCATTTCCAATTTGTAACAAAAACTTGGAAAATTCAATTTCATTTTGGTTTACTCTCATATTTCTAAATAGTTTAAGAATTTTAAAATGTGGCCAAATCGGAGAATTTTTTATGCAGTTTTGTATTGTAAGCTGTCTTGAGCCATGTGGGACAACTGGTAAAACTTGTCTGAAATCTCCTCCTAAGACAATAACTTTCCCACCAAAGAAAACGTCGTTTTCCATTATATCTTTTAATAATCGATTGACAACCATTAACGCATACGCACTTGCCATAGGAGCTTCGTCCCAAATAATAAGTTTTGATTTTCGAATAGTTGATGCCTCTTTGCTATTTACCTTCAATGATGAAACTGAAGTATCTGTCAATATCAAAGGTAATTTAAATCGGCTATGTACTGTGCGACCTCCGGGTAACAACATTGCTACTATTCCAGTCCAAGCAACCGGAATTACATCATAACCCATTTCTATACAACTGTTAATGATACATTTATAGACGAATGTTTTCCCTGTACCACCAGGTCCATCAATGAAATATGCGTTAGGAACACTTGTATTTTCAAGGCTCACGCATTTCATAATAGTGCTTATAATATCACGCTGTTCTTGATTTGCGCTGTCAATTAAATCATGTTGAATTGATAATGGTAATGTATCTTGTTGATTTGATTCGCTGTTTATAATAGCAGCATCATATTCTGGTAAACCGATTGATTTCAATGTCTGACCATGCAATTTTAATGTTAATGAAATATCTGATAAGGTTTTTGCATAAGCAATAGTGGCATTTGAAACTTGTATAAAGTCTTCACTCATTGCGTCTTTAAATGTTTCCCATAAAACGTTAGTGTCATAAGGTCTCTGAAAAATACATATATATGCAAACATTTGTCGAAGTTGCTTTGGCATTTGAAAAATGGATACTTCACTTAAACAGCGATACCACTCTGAATCATCTGATAGCAAATTTCGATGTTTAGCTGCCTCTTTAAAGGTAGGAAATGTTTTACCATTATATGTTCTAATGTCTTCGAATGATTTAGCACCAATAACGTGGAGTAGAAGTAATCTTAGATAATACCGTTCACTATCAGAAGGCGATACATGGTACATTCTGCCAATGACTGGCTGATATTTAACTCGTTTTTTCCATTGCTTTCCATTCCAAACATAATGCATAGGTGTTTCGGGATAAATATATGGACTTTTAGTTTGTTTATGGTTATTTAAATTTAACCATCCTATTAGTGTAGTACTTTTCAACTCTGCGTGCATTAATGCTTCTGCTGCATTATCATTGGTGAAATACACTTGTTGTTGATCGGGTAAATGTACGGCGAGTCGTACTACAGTATGTGATTGCTCATGCATATTGTATGAAAATATTCTATAAGCTGCTTCACACGATCCAACGTATCTAGTGTTTAAATAAGTGGTCACTTCATCATAATTCACTGATGTTTGGTCGACAGTTACTTGGAGATTAGCGCAGTCATGACCTTTATAAATATATTTATGTAAGTATTTAACACTGTGGACACTTGCACAAATTTCAACATTAATATGAGCTTCAAAATACTTTAACAGAAAGGGATTATATGGGACAACGTATCTGTTATCAATATCAATACATTTTCCGTTCACTGTTTTACTTATTGTTCGGCCATTATCTCTTCTCATATACACAGGATAACCATTGTAGTTTTCTTTTGTAACACTTGAAAACTGTTTAGGAAATTCTTTTTTACACTTTCCATTCTCCATGCAAACATTATTTAAATTTAGACTCCCGCAAGGTCCATGTATATTATGCTTTTTTACTAAATTATACAATGTACTATCATGATTTGGATCAGGAATTTCTGCGGACACAGCTCTATCAATATCCTGAACATCTCTAAACTTACAATGATCCTCAAGGCCTACTAACAAATGAACGTGAGGTAATCCTCTTTTTTGAAATTCTATTGTATAAATGTAAGTTTTCACATCACCAAATATTTTTTTTGTTTTTATTATTTTTAATAAGTGTTCAACTTTTGCATGGAATACACGAACAACAATATCGGGTCTGTTATTTGCTGTTTCGTATGAATGAATGCTTGTAGTAATCTCTGGCCACGAAGCATTACAGGTAAATGTAATGAACAAATCTGGTTTACCGAATTTCCTTACTATTGCCATGGCATCTTGGTAATTCTGTACCATATTTCGAGGACTTCCAATAAACGAAGAAGGCAATACGACCAATTTTCCCACTCTAACATTGGCTTCGTTTGCCGTTGCTCGTAAAGCGTCTGCTAAGCCAGAATATGTGTCTACTCTTAATTTTGATTGCTGATTTCTAATATATTTCAATCTATCACCTTCAATACGACAATAATAATCAACGATCAGTTGTTGAGTCAGTTTGCCTGCGCTCAGCACTGGATTAAAATTACCACACGGGGGAGTACCTTTTATTGCCATTCGAAAACATACATATTCACGCATGGAAATGTTGCATCTTTTGGCAGTTTTACGTTTACCATTATATTGCATATTTATATACCAGCCTGGTTCTCCGTACGGCCATATTAAAACGTAAGTCATAGGGTCACAGTGCATGCTGTCGTAATCAATTCTTTGTATATCTCCTTTTTTTGGGTAAACTGATATTTGTCTATGTGAAGGAGGTGCGCCATCTGAAGATTCAAATACTGCTGCGATTTCAGAAACTGTTGGGTCGTTGTACCTACGGATATCTTCTCTAGGTTCATGATAAAATCGCATAATCATATTAATAGTAGTTGAACTCCCACCATGAACCGTTAGTTCATGCATTTGTTTGTACGATTTAGCATATGGATTTATGTTAGATAATACATTGTGTAATTTATCAAGTATATAACTTTTAAGTAATATATTTTGTGATTTGTTTAATCTAACTTTGTTTGCTTCAGCAAAGTCTAAAATATATAATTGACCATACGATGGATTTTGGCCTGAGCTAGGATAAAGGGAACTAATACGATGATATATATCACCATGTATTTTAAAACAATAAGGCCCATACCCCGATGGTAATGTTATGTGAGAACCAAAAGAGACAAATGACATCGCACTGTTATATTGACGTATATGTTCTCTAAAATGTTTGGACTCATCATTTTCACCAACAAACAAATCAAATATTTCATTAGGCAAACGGCTCTCCGGTAAAGATATTTTGCCATTACCACAACATAAACTGAAATGCCCTCTTGTCGTTTTTTCACACTCAAAGTGCAACGAATGACAATGCTCGCATTTAAATGTTAAATCACCCAAATTATAGGGAGTAACGTGAACTATATTATGTGATAAAGCGCATTTATAAAATAATTTAAACAATAATACACTGTGATTCCGGGTTTCTTTATGTTTTTTTCTTTCTCGTCTACCAGTTAAAGAATGTGTTTTACGCTTATTATTAGTGTTTGCAGTTATTTCTTTAGGTAGGATAAATGAATTTTGAATATTCATATTATTACTAAAAACTAAAACACTATAATGTCCTGCGTCACCATTGCCAGAAAAAAATTAATTACACATTGTAACACCAGAACCATAATCTACAAATTCATTAAGATCATTAGATCTATACACACGAAATGTATGATTTGAATAAAGTCGACTAATGCATTCAAGTTCGACGTGACCAGCATACTCGCCATTTAGGCTCATCAACTGTTCGTAATCATTAGAATTATAAATAGGTAGTCTATACGAAAGATCACCAATGACAAATTCTTTGTACACATCCCAATTATTTACCACCAAGTTAACCACTCTTAATCGAATACTTCGATGTTCTTCTTGCGTGCCGAATATTAAATGTGACACGGAACGAAATAAACAATTTCCATCGCCTGGTATTGGAATTAATTGATATTCCATTTTAAATAATAACAATAAAATAAAATAATAATTAAATAATAGTAATATTTTGTTTGGGTTTTTCGACGACGATTCAGACGACGACACTACGACGATAACACAACAGTAACAGTGCACAATGCGTTAATGCCAAATATGAAATAATACATCGCTGCCGACGCGCGACGACGACACTACGACAGTTCTGCAGCAGACGTAGGAGTAGTGGGGGTTCTAAAGATGTGTGTGTGTGTGCACGGCAAGCAACGCGCATCGCTATGTAACAATACGGCAAACTTTATGCTTCTAATATCTATTTAAATAATTATTTTTTTGGAATTTTCTCTTTTGATGGCTCATCTACATACCGAGTACTTTCGTTTAAAAAAAAAATTGTGAAAATCGGCCCGGTAGAACTTCAGATATAACTGTCACAAGAAATCGCCTCACGTTTTAATAATATATAAAGATAAAGATAAAGATACCCATATCCATCGGCCATCATACGATAAGAATAATATAGTTTTATTGTTTTGCGTTCATTCGTTGATCGTTCCTATACTTGTCTATGATCATATCGAATATCGTCAAAATTGTACTGTGTTTTGTCTGTCTTCTGTAGTGCTGTTTTGTGAAGTCCGCAGCAAAACTGATTTACTATGTTTAAGTTTCATTTATAAGATTCATATTAAAATATATTATACTTATATAGTTATACTTAATATATTTATTATTGATATATAATGAATCAAAAAAAAAAAACTTAGCGGAGCTGCAAACATAAAAAGAAAATTGCAAATTGAAAATAATATTTCAAAACTTCCAAAAATATTTGATTTTTTTTCAAAAAAAGAAATAAAAGGTAAGTGTTTTTAGCAACTGTCGGTTAGGTATTAGTTTTATGTTTTATAATCTAGCTCTCGTAGTTATATTTAATACATTTTTAAAATGATTAATATTAATTTAGTTAAAATTACATTAATACAATAACTTCATTATACACTTCGTTGGTTTAAAAAAATTTTTCAAAGTGTATTAAAATTAACCACCAACCCTCCTAAAACCCTATTAGACATGAGTAAATTTATAAAAGAAAAACAATTCGTTACAATTTTTCCTTATGTTGATGTAGCTTTAAGAATGTTGCTTTGTAATTTGGCCTCCAACTATTCAACCGAAAGGTCTTTTTCTACACTCCGCAGAATAAAAAATTATTTAAAAAGTAATGATTTTATATATTATATGGAATTTGATAGTATGTTATATATTTTATATAGGTATTATAATGTATTTAATAATATGTTGTATATTTTATGTTTATTTTATATTTTATTAGTATATTACTTATATTCTGTTATTTTTTACATTTTTAAATATATTAATAATATTTACCAGGCCACTGCATTTGCTTAGTTTTTTTTCTTATAATTTTACTTAAATACTAAACACAGACACCACAAATACCTAAAATTAGTATTATTAGTAATACTTACCAACTAGTTTTAAATTTAATTATTAGCAAAGTGGGCGGGGAGGGGGGGGCGCTAAAATTTTGTTGCCCACGGGCGCCAAATTCTTAAATACGGCCCTGAAAATACCACATACAAATGCAGATAATGTTCTTACCATCAAGTTTCATTATTGGTCGATTCACTCTTATTTTTTAAGCTAAAGAACCTGACCGTGATCTGTTGAACATGAATTTGGTATGTTACACACATCATGTAAGACGGAGACAAAAAATATATGTGTAGTCCTCTTGAATGTAAAATGTACCTATTAATCATGACTGAACTTGTGTGTACTTGCAAAATGTATTATACTAATGTACTTAAATTACGCGTTATTAGTTTGTGTTATTGAATTTCAATGATATATTGATAATTTTAGAGCTATTGACTTTGATGTGGTTCATCGAAATACTGAGGAATAGTATTCATTTAAATCAACACAAGTCAAATTCTAAGAATATATTGTTCAGTATTATATAAATATTTATAATTAAAAATTATAAGATAAATACACAGGAAAAATATGGAGATTTATGAAAATCAGTTAATATGTAATTTAATCGTTATTTGCGTTGCATCAACTTCAAAACTTTTTTAAACATTATAAATTATAAATTACGATGCATTTATGCGTTGTTCACCCAACAGATGGTCAATAGTATACTTATATTGCTGTGTAATACGTAATGTTTTCATCGTCTTGAATATAAAATATTAATATCACGAAAAACTCGTGATATAATTATACTATTTTAGAATATTGTATCTCCTTTTGGCTTTTGTTAAAATATGTTTTCCATGCATAAACCTAATTAAACAATAATATTATTATTACAGTTGCGACGTTACTATTATTTAAATTGTTTCATTGTCAGCTTTACTATTAGTAATTGTCATTCACTTCAAACGTTGTTTGTCTGTGGTTATTAATTTTAACGTAATATTAGAAGTGGGTTCCTCCCGTTTTCATTTCAATGTATAAATTATTTTTACCCAAGTGCAATTATTAAGGTTGACTATAACTATCAACACGTCATGTTCTGGTTTATGTGTAGTAGGTACTTATCTTCGTCCTACACAACATATCAATTTTTTGTGAACTCGGTAAGAATTTTAGAGTACTCTGTTTGTACTTTTCTTACAAACTTCATTTATATTTTCGGTTGCTTTGTCGACGATGAGTTGAAAATGAAAAAAAAAAATTATTCTGAAAGTGTCTTGCGGAAGACACCGGCTAATTATTGCTTTTTTTCGGCGTCAGACGAATACTTAATGTGTAATTTCACCAAGAACAATTTAGAAAATTAAACAAAACGCAATAAAAAGGTATTAATGTAAGTCGGTCGAACCTTTTGTTCTATAATTATTCCGGCAACTTACTAATGGTTTTTTTTAACGCCGCTATTAAAATATGACAAAGGAGTTTCGCCCGTGTCGTCACCGCCCGAACTTTAATAATTTCTGAGTCACAACACCGACACCCGGGCCCGTGTCTAAACGAACCGACCAAAACTAATCTACGGAAATTCCCTTGTTTTAGGAACGACTCTGACTGCCCGGGATTTACATAACGTTCCCCATTAGTTTTGAAAGCGGTGCTGATCGCGAAATGGGCCCAAAATATTGCGGACAACAACGTTCCCATCTAACCCGAGGGGAACTATCGTGGAATCACGTAGGTATTATGTTTGTAGCCGACATGCCGAAATCATAGGTGCGGTATGCACTCTCCGCTTTCGAAAATACGGTACCACGTACTTACATAGTAAACACGTATTGTTGTTAATAATGCAATAATAGAACCTATACATTTTTTTCTTCTAATAAAACGTATGTCGCATAATACTTAGCCACTAAGGCGTATAAAAATATATAATAATAGTGATCCACGGTAACACCTACGTTCGATTCACTTTATATTTTTACCTATTTTTTTCTTTCTCATCCGTCTTTTGTTTATTTCTCGTAGTAAAAAATTATTTCTTAATAAATTATTGATGTGTTGATGAAAAGTGTTTGGTACCCTTATGGTAATATTACTTATTAGTCACGAGCCTGTTTCATAATAACATTTTTAATGAATCCTAAAATCTATCCAGTGTGATTTGCCTGCAAGCATGCTCACTATACATTTTTACTGTGGTAATGAAAATTCTGATTTTTAAAATTGTTTTTTGATATCTATTTAAATATCATGTTTTCAAATTCTTAAGATTTTATGCAGCTATTTCATACTTAAGCAGGGTCATGTATTGGTGCGAACTTATGTTATTCAAATCAGAACCTTTGTCTTACTATACATTTTTTAGAGTATAATTCGTTTGATTATTTTAATGTAGGTGCAGAATTCAACATTTGGACGATTAGTTTCTCAGAAGTTATTAAAATGTTTATGCCAAAGATAATAGTCCTTAAAAATAGTTTTACAAAAATATAAAAAAATGCGTTTTGATCAAGTATTTACTACTATATTTGAACCATTTTACAAGTAATAAATATGTATACATTTTAATATTAATTAATAAAAGTCTCAAATCATATTTATAGCTTCAATATCTTCCGAATTCATTATCATGGATCCATTATCCTAAATAGACAAAGTTAAATAAATCAAAAACTACCCATTCAATAATGTTGAAAGTTTGAACACGTAAAAAAAAATACAAGTGGTCAGTATCTCATTTATACTGTAAAGTAATAAAATAATGACACATTTGCTACGAAACAATTTGGCTTGGGGACGAACCATTAAGTCTACTGAAAAATTTTAACACCAAGATAGATGATAACTGTGTCTAGCCAGTAACTGCGTTTCTTTCATTTTTTTATTAACACAGTTACGTCTGCTATTAGGTATTTGAGTAGTAGGCATGTAATTAAAACATAATAATATTATAAACTAGGTACCTATACAACAATAACATTCTTAGAAATTATCATTATTTTGTTTTTACAATGGCATTGAAAAAATAAAGATTCTTATATTGAGTAGATAATGTTACGTCTACTTTTTCATGTAAGACTTAAGGAGACACTTAACTGTATGAGCCTGTGTCTCACAGTTTTAATAGTATATAGAGAGAAAACAATTTATTATGGCACCTACTCAATCAATTATTTTTATTTAGCAGGCAATTAACAAAAACTAAGGCTTTTATTGGCAGTCTACCTGTCAGAGAGATATTATGAGAATAAGAAATCTATTACATCGTAGTTAGTATATAAATACTAATGACTATAGTCTTATAAATTAGTACGATTATGGCCACGGACAGAACGCTAGTCGCTATCGCATAATATATATACTTATAGCTGTCACACAGAAATGTGATTCCATATATTTACATCATAATTTATACAAGAGAGCTTATTTTCAAATTATTTATTTCTCATCAAGTCTGTCGAACAATATAATGGCCGTCAGTCGGGTTTGCGATTTATTATTTTACTTATATGCATTATTGTTGAACGTGTGTTAAGTAATTTAAATACATTCATTTCAATTTTGCC